GGGCTGAGCCGTGGGGCCGGAGGGGTCTCCGGGACGGAGGGGAGGCTGCGGTTCCTGCCTGTGCCCGTGCTGGCTGCTCCTGTGCTGCAGAGCGGCCGGGAGGGTTGCTTTGGAGTGGAAAAGGAAGGCGGGCGTTGAGGGGTGCAGCGTTGTCAGGCCCCCGGTGGCCGGGGTACTCCCCAGGGCTGTCTGTGGTCTGCGGCACGACCGGCAGTGCTGCTGTGGGGCTCCCCAGCCCGGGCATCACCCCTCGGGGCTTGTAGCTGCTCCCTCGGAGCCCCCGGCGGTGCCGTGTAACTCCCAGTCGCTGTTGGATGTGCAGCTTTCAGCGCTCTGAGCCTGTCTGGCTTGAGCAGTTGATTTGCTTCTCTGTGTGTGCGAGAGCAGAAAGGTGCTGGTGCCAGTCAGGGGTCGTGTTTGGATTTGGTAGATTGGGGGAGGTAAAGGCAGGAGCCTGTTCCTTCAGACTGTGATGGCTGATGTCTCTCGGGTGGAGAGATCTCCTTGCTTTGCCAAGCTGTGGTAGCATGAGAGAATATGCAAGTTTGGGTGATCGTGGAGCTGCTGCCTGGCTGTGCTGGAGCTCATGGCAGCCCATGCTCTGCTGCTGAAGGTGTTGGGCTTTTGGAGGATGGATTTAATGCCCTAGGGCCAGCAGGTAGATTTTGTGGTGGGACTGCTGGTTATTTTCTCTTAGCACAGAATGAAGTGGCCACAAACCAGGCAGAGGCAGGGGAAACCTTGTCCCTTTCTTCAGTGTTTGAGTGAAGGGAGAGAATGAGTCTGAAGCGAAGGGTGTCTCACTCCCTCGTGTTTCCAGGGTTTGGTGAAGCCAGCATGGGCCTAGGGCTGCCTGCTGGGCTCTCTGAATCATGTAGCTCACACCAGTAGAGATTCACCCTGTGAACATGAGACTGTCGGAAAATCTTGCTGAGCTGAACCTAGCTGCTCCTAGCTTCCCCTGCCCTTCTGCAGTCCTTTTTTGAGGAAGACCATGAGCATGAAGGGGTCTTGCTCCATGCAGTATTGTAGTAGTGGCTCTTTGTGTTTTCTGTCTTTGTCCTAACTACCCTGATTTGATCCTCCAGCTCTGCTGCCCTATCTTCTGTCCTTCTGGCTGCAGGCCTGCAAGTCAGAGCTCGAAGGAGAGTGTCCTTTACCCTGTTTCTTTTGCATATGAATCTAAGGTTACACCTGCTCTTGAAGAGATGAAAGGTGCCCTGAGGATCTGCCCTGAGCTGGTTGTAGCTCTTTTTTACCACTTCTGGGGAGTGGAGGCAGCTGAGGCTGGCTGGGTTCAGTTCCTGTTCTGACAGCCAAGCAGCAAAGCCAAAACACAAGTAAAAGACTGGCTGGGCCCAGCACTAAGGATCATCCTTGAAGGTTGCCAGACATGCAGGGTGGGCTGTGGCTTTCCTCTGTATTCCTTTGCTGTGGTGACACTATTCTTCATTCTTGTGTGTCACTGCAGGGGAGGGGGCCACCCCAAATCTGTGGCAGAAAGAGTGACCAGTGTTACCACTTCCCATTATGGGGCTCACTGACTTGCCTGACAGTGCTTGTGTGCTCCCCTGAGTGTGAGGTGCTAAGACCTGACCTGTACATGGAGGGGTGAGCACACAAGAATAATGGGGATATCTCTGCTGCAAGGGATCTGCCGTGCTAAGGCCTTCCAGTGGGACGAAATGTCCTGCAGGCCTTGGCTGTGCTCAGGGAAGGGCTTCACCAACCTGGGGGGCATAGTCCTGCCCCCATATTTCTGCTGGGCACATTGCCATCACCCCCTACTTCCAGGCTGCTGCTCTGGGGTGGAAGGGAGTGGTGGGACATGTGCAGTGACCTCTTTGCTGCATTTGAGCATTTCAGAAGTCTCCCATTTCCTCTTTTCCCAACTGTATGCAGGATCAGCGTCACACTGACTGGTTACAGTCAGATACGCTACTGCTGTCCCTTCACCCTCTCTGTCTGGCATGGAGCACACAGTGCCACGATGCTTGTGCTTATCTGTTCCTCAGGGCTGGGTCACCCTCCCTTTTCCAGCAAAGAGCAAGTGTTCCTTCTGGTCTGCAGCCATGTTTCCCTCTCAGGAGCTCAGAGTAAAGCAGGGTTTCAGTGCAAGCACCTCTGCACGTGCCTGAGCTGTGCAGGGATGTGACTCTTGGCTGTGGTCTCTGGTGGGAGATGAACACAGCAGGGCAAGCCCTCCTTGGAAAGGAAGGGCTTTTCTGAGTTTCTCAGGACAGTGCTTTGGTGTCTCCCACCTGTGTTGGAGTATAAATTTATCTAGAAATTTCACTAGGGGAAATGCTGAGGAAACAGTCAGGTCTTGAACCCACAGCCTTGGAAAGAAGGTGTTGGAGGAAAGCTGGAGCTTATCATGTTGATGGGCTCCTGGGAAGCAACACAAATGCTGATGGGATGGTGATGTAGCAGCATGTGATGGTCACTCAGGGCACAGTCTTGCTCCTCTTGTCCCTCCTGTGGCAGGGAAGAGCTCACAGCTGGTCCCCTGGAGCTGTGGTTTTCCAACAGGGCTGAGCCATTGGAGAGCCATGGTGGAGACCATGCCAGGGCACAGGGCTCTGTGGATTGCCCTGGAGACCCTGTAGCTCAGCATGGTCTTAGGGAATAGAAAATGGGTGTGACAACAACTGTGATCATCTTCTGGGCAGGACTGGGATGGGGTCTGATAGTATTGCGGGCCCAGGCTGTCTGTCCTGTGCTGATGTGGAAGTGTTGGGATCACAGGGGTATGATTTGGAGGGGACACCTGTCCCACAGCTCTGCATGCCTGAGCCAGTCTTCCCAGTAACCCTCCTTCATGCTGTGCTGTGCTTCTGGGCCTTTGCCTTGGGGCTTCACAGGCTGGGGAGGAACCAGCAGTGTTGGATCAAGCTGGTGCCTCCCTGGAAGTTTCCATCTTGTTCTTGCTTTCCAGGGATCTGCTACACAATATTTGACCTGGGCTTCCGCTTCGATGTGGCTTGGTGAGTTCCCTGTAAACACAGACAGCCCTGTAAACAGGGCTGTGCTGGCAGTGCCTCCCAGGAGCAGCACTTGCTTTTAAGTGATGGGCAGCAGTCACTGCATCACAGGAGAACAAGAGCTACAGTGAGCAGGGCCTCTGCTCCCCGGGAGGTGGGGTGGATGCAGCCCATGTGTTCCTGTTACTAACTCCATACGAGGTGCTGGTGCAGCTGTTGCTGCTCTGCCCTTCACATCTCCGAGCCCAGGCTTCTGCTTCACAGTTAGGGTTTGGGAGGAAGATCTTGCTCCATGCAGGTGAGGGTCCTGTGCTTCTGGCTGGCAGAGAGAGGTTCTCGTGTACTGCTATCTGGCTGCCCAACCCATCTTGGGCTTCATAATTTGGTGAAGGGGTACCTGTTTTGGGGTAGGCTGTGTGGCATGACTATGGGGCCTCAGCCTCTGTGCTTACTTAGGACATTTCTTCCTCTCCAGGTTTCTGACGGAGACCTCACCCTACATGTGGTCCAACCTGGGCATTGGCTTGGCCATCTCCCTGTCTGTGGTGGGAGCTGCCTGGTGAGTGGGACTGACTCTTCAGCATTCTCCTGATGTCCCATCTTGGTAGCTGTGTATACACTGCAGTTTTCCCACAGCAGAGCAGGGTAGAGCAATGTGTACTTGTAGGGCTGTGGGTCAGCACAGCACTGGGGCTGAATTGCTGGGCTAGTGGGGAGTCTGGGTGGACCAGCCCACAGGCAGCAGTGGCAAGACAGGGAAGTCTCTGGAAGCTGTACCCCTGAGCCCAGGCTGTCCAGTGGTGGCTCTCATGCCCCAGCAGTTCTGCTGGTGTAAGTGATGCACCCTGGGGCCACTCATACCTCAGGAGTGGCCAGGCTGAGTGCTCAGTATCCCCCAGCTGCATGCCAGATTCTTTGCTCAGCTGAAAGATCCTGGTTTCTGTATAGAATTCTGTGAATGCCAGACCTGCCACCAACCACCCTTGTCTACTACAGGGGGATTTACATCACGGGCTCCAGCATCATTGGTGGTGGAGTCAAAGCCCCGCGGATCAAAACAAAGAATCTGGTCAGGTAAGCACAAACCTAGGGTTAGTTCTTGTGCTGCATCTGAGTAGGGCAGGTCACAACCCACCCAGTGAAGAGGCTTCTGTGTGCTCTCTAGCTGGGTGCTGCTGGCAGATTGTTCTTTTCTGAGCTGCTGATGCTGTTTGCTTTCAAAACAAAGGGCCTTAAAGGAGCCAGAGTGTCCCTTTGAAGGGTCACTGTGTGATATCATGCTGTGAATGAGCCCAGTGTGTTCAAAACAAACACCCTGAGATCACACATCATGCCTAGGCAAAGGTTCTCCTTGCACAACCCTTCCACAAGGAGCAGAAACAGGCTGGTGAAGGGCAGGACTTCCTAGGCCTGTTTCCAACAGGGTCCTTGCAGCTTACTCAGGTGCCACGGCAGAGCCAGCCTTTGTGCTTGGCAGCTCCCCCTAGTTTAAAAGGAAAGTAGTGGGTAGCTTCCCATATGGCTGTGGAGGAGTCTGGCTGGCTGGGTGTAAAGTGTTAGGGGTTCCTTGGGGTGGGGTCTTTCCCCTGGCACACTGGTCAGACTGACTGAGACACTGTGCTCAGGCTTTGCCTTTCTCCCACAGCATCATTTTCTGCGAGGCCGTGGCCATCTACGGGATCATCATGGCAATAGTCATCAGTAACATGGCTGAGGTATGGGAGCACCTGGGCTGCCATGCCACTCCTGCGGCCATGGTGGGCATGGGCAGCTGGTCATGGGTCAGTGTTGTGAGGGAGTAGCCCTGTTGTGCCTTTGGGAACCCCTGGACTGGTGGTCTGTGTAGTGATCCTTGCCTGTGATAAAGAGAGTGTTGGGAGAGCACACACAAGGCAGATGCCATGAAGCCAGCCTGATGTGGAGTCAGGGACCGGCTCTGGCCAAAACGTGGCTGCCTCATGCTGTACCTTTTCCAGACACCACAGACTTGTCACTAACCCAGGTCCTGTGCTTTCTCTTTTCAGCCTTTCAACGGAGTCACCCCAGAAGAGATTGGAGCCAGGAACTACCACGCAGGTAAGGACTGCTGGGTCCCTGGTGCTGTCACTGTGGGCACTGCCACACCCTGACCCCCACCTTCTGATCTACCCGTGGTCTGCTGCTGGTGTCTGAAGGACATGTGACTCTTCTGCCTAAAGGCAGCATTTTACTTACCTTCTCAATGTCCTCCTGCACCCAGTGGGCTGTGCTGCCCAGCAGCAGCACTGCTCCTCCTCTGGGTGGAGCAGTGGCCTGGCACTGCAGGAGCTGAGGCACACCTCAGAGCATTCCTGCTCCTCAAACAGGGTGTTGCTGGGGCTTGGCAGCTCCAGGTCTTTTGTCACCTCGAGGGAGAGCTTCTGCAGCATGTCCTGGGTGCAGGTGGAAGTAGGTTACACCCTTCTCTCACAGCATTCCTCTCTCACAGGTTTCTCCATGTTTGGAGCTGGTCTGACCGTGGGTTTATGCAATCTCTTCTGTGGGGTCTGTGTGGGCATCGTGGGCAGCGGGGCTGCCCTGGCTGATGCCCAGAATGCCAGCCTCTTCGTCAAGATCCTGATTGTGGAAATCTTTGGCAGTGCCATAGGGCTGTTTGGGGTCATCGTTGCTATCCTGCAGGTACCTGTTTCCTGAGGCCACCAGGCCTATGTGAGCACAAGGTGCTGTCACCCTGGATGCTCTCCAGCCCCAGGGAGACACCCCTGGGTTTCAGCAGTCTTCTGCACTGGGATGGGGAGGCTGCTTACAAAGTTTGGGGTGTCACAGCTCTTGCCACAGTATACTGTGCCTGTTTGCAACATTATGAACCCTTCTGATGGCCCTTGTGTCACCAAGTGTGTCACCTTGAGTGCTCCTCGTGTGACGCTCATGTGTTACCAGTGGGACTGATAAGCTGTCTGCAGCTACTGGATGGTCCTGGGGTGCTTGGGTGGACCTGGGGTGCTGAGCTGGGGTTTATGTGCCACAACCTAACCTCTCTTCTTTCTTTCTAGACGTCCAGAGTAAAAATGGGCTGAGCCCTCTTGCACTCAGCCTGTTCCAGCCCACCCCAAGAGGTTCTGTATATACTTATTTAATGTTTGTATACTTGATTGGGGTGGGAGATTACTGGCATCAGGAGCAGGAGCCTGACTGCGTAGAGCCCCGTCCTGCAGATCAATCGGCACCTTGGAAGAAACAAATTTCTCTGTGTGAATTCTGCCCCCAGCAGCCTGGCCCAGCCCATGGGGCCCTGCTGCTGCCCATCCCCGGTGTGTAGAATCGACCATCAGTGCAATTCTGTGTCAGTGAAATAAATATGGTTCTTGTCCAGCTCTTTCTCCTCCCTGTGCATGCTAAGGAGGTTTGCAGAGAGAAGGTGCTGGTTTGGGCTGCCCCAGTGCCCAGAGATTCTTCTCTGTGCCTCTGGCAAAATCCCTGTCCTGTTCCAGGAGCCTGGTGGTGTCATGCCTGTGTGGGATTAATTCTGTTGCCTTCTCAGGCTGCAAGAGCCACCTGGTTTGGGCTGTGGGAACGCAGAGCTGGGCCTTGCTGCCTGGAGCAGGTACAAGGCTGTTGGAACAGACAGCAGGCAGCTCTGAGTTGCCTCTGCCAGGCTCCTAGCAGCCCAACATGAGCTAAACAAGCTGCTTTGGGCCTTTGAGCTGCCATTGGGGTAGTTTAGTGTAGTGGGGGTGTACACAGTGTGCATAGCCCCATTGTGTAGCTGGGGAGCACCAGAAGAACAGACAAGCGAAACTTTTCCCCCTTCAAAGGATGTCCTCCAGCCAGCAAGGCCATGGTGTGACTGTTGGCTGCGTGCTGGGGCTCTCCAGTCTGCAGTGCCCCTCTGTCCAGGGGGCCCTGGCAGAGGTCCCAGGGGTGGGGATGCTTTGTGCTGGCTCTGTTCCCGGTCCCTGGCTGTGCTGAATAGCTGGGGGGGGGAAGCTGGCTGTAGACAGCTGGACCTGCAGTTCATCTGCTGCTTGGGGGAAGGGAAGAACGAAGTCCTAGTGCATGTGCTCTGCAGAGAGCCTGGAGGCTGCTGCTTTTCCTGTATCCAGCACAGGGCCTCATCCTGTTCTTCTACCAGTATACCTTCATGGAGAAAGCACTGATCTTCCAGTGCTGTGTCAGAGCAGATGCACTCTTAGAGCTGCTCTTCTCTCTTCTCATGTGGACACCACAGGCCTGCTGGTTCTTGCCCTTGAACTAGGGCAGCTGCCTCTGCATGACCCCTCTGAGATCTGCTGTTCTCCTGCCTCTGTTCTGCACTGTCCTATGAGTTTTGGGACTGCAGTATATTTCAGCCCTGGGTGCCCTGGGTGGGGGGAAAACCAACCCATGGGCCCTGCTAGCTGTGCTAGCTGTCCCTTGGGGCTGGAGGGTGTCAGGGGAGCAATGTGAGACCTGTGCAGTGGCAAACTGGGCTCTGCCTGCTTGGAAGAGAGTGTCTGTCAGGTGTGGGCAGACTTTCGCCTGTCCTGTGTGAGAGCTGCAGAGCCATTTCATCAGACCCACACCGAGCTCCAAAAGGAGATGCCTGGGGTTGGAGAGGCTGTGCTGGTGTTAGAGAAACTGCTTTTGGGGTTAATCATCTTCCTGGTTAGCAGCTGTCTTGAAAGATTCATGCACTTGCTTTTTAGGTATGGGCGTTGCTCTGCCCTGCCCAGAAAGAAATGTATCATCCGTCAGAAATATGTCTCTGTGAGATGCTTTCCCCCTCTCCCAATCCTGCTTCTGTATGTCACAGCTTTGGCAGGGCAATGGGCTCCAGACTTACCCACAGGCCCCTTATAAGCATATGAGAGCCATCAGGACTACTCTCAGGGTGGCCCACAGCCCACCTACCATAGCCAGCAGTGATAAGGTGAGCACGCCCTGTGCTCACCTCGTTCTAGGTGTGCATGCTTGGGTTCCAGGACTTGGACTAAACACCTGCTGCTCAAGCAGAGGAAAAAAAGCTTCAACAAGGCTCCAGGATCTAACACCTTGTGTCATCTAGAAGCATCGGCAGCGGGAGTCGAAAGATATTTTGGTAACCATGTGTAGGTATTGAGGAAAATGCCACCTGCTGAGGAGCCAAACCAAGAGCTGGAGGCAGAAGTTGGACTGCTTTCAGTTGGGGCTTGTTTGCAGGGGTGGAGCAGGGCGGGGCTGGGTGGCTGCCATTCAGTTCTCTTCGGAAGGGTTGTCTGCTGAAGGGAGCTTCTGAAGGGAGCTGGAGAGCCCTCGCTTGGGTGAGCAGCCAGGCATGGGAGGAGGAGAGGCCCCAGGGAACAGGGTTGCTCCAAACAGATACAATTGCTGGGGAAGGGAGCTCAGGGGGTGTCAGGAAGGGAAAGTCTGCAGACAGTGCAATAACTACTTATGGTGGGCCAAACTTGCAGCTGGACCAAACCGAGATCTTTCGGTGATGCCATTATGGTAAAGAGGGTGAGATTCCCAGTGTTTCCTAGCAGTGAAACGTAGGGTGGGGGGGGAAGGAGCCACGAATGGGTTGCAACGGACGCTGAGCCGGCACCAACGGCGGGAGCATGGGAGCGGCCGCAGGTGGGTCCGTGGAAGCGCTGCCTTCAGGCAACAAGGAGCAAGGGAACGAAGGAAGGCCGGGACACCGTGTGCCTGTGTCCCGGAGGTGCTTGGAAGGTCCCCGGTGCCGCTCCTAGGGCCGAGCGGTGAGCATCCCGTGGTGGAGCCGGAGGCATCGCACACCCCGGGGTGTGTCTGCATCCCTGGCATCCGCGTCCGTGGGCCCCGGTGCCTGCGGGACT